CGGGCAGTGATGTGATCCAGCGCGGCATCTGGCTCATCCCAGCCCCACTTTGCATACGATGCAGCTCAGGGACGATCAAAGACGATCGATACGGTGTATTGACAGTGTATCTACTGCATATTGGAATGGTACATTTCCGACACTCTCCGTCGAAGCGCCATGTGGCCCAAACATATTGAAGCTTGGCACCAAACGACGCTCCGACTTGACTGCACTTGGATCACCAGGTGGGGCTTGGACGAGAAATGCGAGCGCCACGTCATCGTGAGAATCTGTCGTGTGTTCTCAGCAAGAGAGTCACGCTATGGCGATCGATACCTTTGCAGCACGCTCGTAAAGTACTCTCCGCCAAGATCTAAGGTACTATTCGCCTCTATAGCAATACCTAATGATAGGTCGTGGACATTATGTTGGACAAAAGCGACTGGTTGCAAGTTGCTGCCGCATCGCTTTGCTTCGCGCCCATGAGATTGCAACCGGCGAAAAGCCCTCGCGTCGGTGGGCCAAAAGAAAGGTCACGACCTCGATGTGGCCTCGGACGATGGCACGGTCCAACGCTGCTGTCGTCGCTGGCGCTCCCGCCGCATGCAGTCGCTGGACGATCGCCAGATGCCCGCCGTCGGCTGCACCGTCCAAGGCAGCACTCGTGTACGGGTGTCCTTGCGCCAAAAGATAGGCGACCACGTCTTCGTGGCCGGCGCGCGCAGCGCCGTCGATCGCGTTGGCTGTACCGACGTTGCTTTGATGCGTCAGCAAGAACTGCACAACGTTTAGGTGACCTTTGGCCGCGGATTTGTCGAGCGCTTCCGCGTATCCGGCTTCGTCCTTTCTAAGCGCGTGCAGGAATCGCACCACGTCGAGATGACCCTTGGCGGCTGCGTGGACCATCGCTTTGGCGGTGCAGCTGTCGTCGGTCCGGTGCGTGTGTAAATATGCCACAATATCGAGCGCCCCGACCTTGGCGGCCGCGTCGATCGCTGCTGGCGCACAGGCAACGCCCACGCGATCGAGAAACTCGACCATTTGAAGCGAGGTGCGCGCTGCGGCTGTCATCGCGTGCGCCGAGCACGTGCCAAGGTGGTGCGCAAAGGCATACTGTACGTGCGCGAGGTTGCCAGTGGCAACGAGAGCATCCACGTCGAGCGCCGCCGGTACGTGTTGGGCAATCAGAAGCTTATAGATCTCGATGGACCGCGTGTCGATCGCTGGCGCATCGACTGGACGAGGGTACTGCGCGAGCAAATAGGTCACGATCGATGTGTGGCCTTCGCTGGCGGCATTGCGCAGGCTAACCGCAATATCGCGAGCGGTCCACTGCTGATGTGTCAGTAGAAAGAAGACCACGTCGGCGTGGCCGTGTTGTGCGGCGAGGTGCAGCGCCCGTGGAGATCCCACGACGCTGTGCGTGGCATGCACAAAGCGCAAGACATCAATGTGCCCGTGTGACGCCGCGTCGTCAACGCCTTTGGTCGAGCAAGGCTCCTTGCACAGATACCGAAGAACGTCAAGATGTCCGTTGCGACAGGCGCCGTCGATAGCCGCTTGTGGCCACGGACCTTGCCAGTTGTCGTATAAAATACCCACGAGATCCAGTCGCCCGTAGGACGCGGCCACGATCGCCGTGCGCTGCGCGCTGCGAAAGCCGAGCGCGCTCAACGACGTAAAGGTTACGCACGTGCCGTACTTGGCGGCGCACGAGAGCACACTCGGAGCGATCGCGTCAAGGGTCAAAAGCTCAGAGCACTTGAGCGTGGCGTAGGTTAGTGCGAGGTCGCTCCGGCCAGTAAAGAGAGCCCAGTGCAGCGGAAAGCGCGCGTCGAGTGCATTGAGAAAGAGCTCGCCCGACCACACGTCGCGCTGCTCGTAGCGCAAGGCAAAGCAGATGCCGGGCACATTGACCCACTCAAAGGCCAGGTCGACCTTCCACTCGTGGTCCAGGCCCAGTAGAGACACCGGGAGGCCACTCTGGTACGTCGCCATGAGGCGAACAAGGCCGTCGTTGGTGAGCACAGAGATTGCTGCTGCCATGGAAGAAGCCAAAGAAGAAATCGCCGACGCGAATCTTGACGTATCTTTCGGCGCCTTTCTCGCGGCTGACACGCACGTGATTGGTCACCGCAAAACGGTTAAAGACACGTGTTTTTCGATGCCAGGAGGTTAAAAACGTTTTTTATGACAATAGGCTGCCGCGCGACCGGGTAAAGCAAGCGCCAGTGCTGAAGTGTAAACACAATCGCTTGGGCTATCGACGCTCTTGATACTTCCTGAGAGACACTAGGGTGGGCGACCTTGAAGTGCCAGCGACGAGCAATGTCCACGAGGTGCGTGTTCTTAGCACTCTGCCCCTGACGCCAGGAATACAGCGTGTCGAGTCGACCTGGCGCCACACTTGCACTTTTTGTACTGCCGGGAGTATACAAACTACAACCAGCTACCACAGGCCAGCTACAACTCGCTTCAAGCAGCACCTCGTCGCACATGCTTGCGCGGCGTTTCGCACGCGAAAGAACACGGATGTAACCTAGACCACGTCGCATGTCCACACACGTTGATGGGTGAATGGATGCCAATATCCTGCTCTCCACGCGATATTGCTCGTGCGTTGAAGTTGAAGGACTGCGTTAAACATATTTAGCGTCATTGGGTTAAACGAGGTCAAACACATCACCTAGCCGGCGGCTGATGGCAATCCATCAACGCACGCACATCTGCCACGACGCTATGATATCTTTTGATGATCTGCAAGTTGATATGCGGTGTCTTGTTGCCGCTTCCTTTCATTTCTGCTCGACCGAGGAACGTGATATTCAATCGTTTGCACCGAAGCTGGACACCTACACACGTTGGCTGCTCGCCGTGCTGGTATGCCCAAAGGGTACATTCACAACACCGTACTAGTACGTATCGAACGTCACATACCGTCAGAAGCTAACAAGCTCATGCGCGCTGATGCAATTCCAACGCCACCTCGGTCGTGGCACTTGCCCAGTGGTAGGAGGGTATCTCCTATGGCGCGCTCCTCTGTACCGTTGGCCTTCCGTTGCTTCGCGTTTTACACTATTTGAGGTCCGAACAACATTGTGCGCAAATGCTAAGCGCATTTGTCCGCAATCTTCGAATACGCGCAACCGGCGCGCTAGAGAGACAACCACCACGTTTCTCCATCGCTCCAGCAACACTAACGATGATGTTTGCCATACAAATACACTGCCTTGCCAGTCGGCACTGTAGCTCCGCGATTCGTGAGCTCGGCGGGTCGCCAGCCTTCCAACTCCGCGAGCGCGTGTGTTAGGGTTTAGGGTAGGTGTAGGGTTGAGTGAGCCAACGCATTCCCTTTGTTTGGACCGTTAATAATGTGGCCACAGACATGGTATCGAAGTCTTTTTACGCTACCGAGCTCTATGGAATGAAGTGACGTCGTTGTAAATAGCTACAAAGCTATAATCAGGACCACAATCGACCCAGGACTTTTCAAGCTGATGTCACTTTATTTTTATCATCAAGACAACTCTTGGGTTCTTGGCACGACACGACAGAAAATCGTGCGATCCAATTTCGGCGTGGCAATGCTATTATAGAAAATAGTAGTCTAGTAGCCTAGTATACGCCACGCAAAGTAATACTAGTACACTGTACAAATCTCCTCATCGTGATGTCGCTCCATACCAAGCCGCTGGTGTACCGGAACGCCACAAAAATATAGATCCTCGCGCATCGAAGCGAACGGGCCGCGCGGCCCTTTCGAAGGACAACGAGAGGAAGACGACTGGCAATAAGTCTTGAAAATCGGCTCCACGGCGGAGATCGCGTGCGTTCTTCACCATAGCAAGGTCTCGGGAGAAGCCAAGGACACATTGCATCTCTTAGCCTCACGGTCACCACCACCTATGGCCGGGTATGCCCAAGGACGTCCTTGCCATTTTTATTTTTGCCACGTCAATGCCAGATCATTTACATTACTTGTTTCCGCTTGCGAGCGACGATCTGCACGCGGCCGTCACCGCCCTCGTGCCAACCCTCGAGAAGGGCAATGCGTCGCTCGCCGAGCTCTACCGCACCTGGTCCTTCTCGGATCGTGGCGCGTCCCGATTGGTGGTTCGCGCGTCGACGCTGCCCGAGCTTTTGAACGGCCTGCACTCGTTTCTCAACGGGTGTCCCAAGCCTGACGTCGTCTTCGTTGCTATGTCGGTTCCCGCGACGCCGCCGCCACTTGTCTACATCTTCAGTGGCATGGGCGGTCAGTGGAATGGCATGGGCGCAACACTCTACGAAGTGTGTCCCGTCTTTGCCTCGGCGCTAACGACCGCAGAAGACGCCCTTCTCGCCGTCTCGGGTGGCTCCCGGTTTGTGCCAGCGATGCTCGATCTGTCGTCTACCTCGATGACGACCAACGCCGGTGCACAGGCAGGCAACTTTGTGCTCCAGGTGGCTCTTCTTGCCGAGCTCTCGTCGCGCCTAATTGCGCCGTACATGGGCGCGCTGGGTCTTTCCGCCGGCGAGCCCGCTGCTGCGTACGCCGCTGGAAGTCTCTCGCTCGGTGACGCAGCCAAAGTGGCGTGGACACGCCTCGTCATGCAAAATCGCGTCGCGGAGCATAATGGTGGCATGCTTGCTGTCCGAGCGTCCGCGGCAACTATCGCTCCGCTTCTGCCAGCTGAGGTTGAAGTGGCCGCGGTTCTTTCCCCACATCTCTCGACGGTGACGGGCCCCACGCAAGCGCTCGACGCGCTCCGGACGACGCTGCCATCGTCGATTGTGACCATCAACATCCCGATGCGAGCCGCGTACCACAGCAGCATCATGGAGCAAGCCAACATCCCAGTCGACTTGGTCATGGCCCTCCAAGATCTGAGCCCACAGATCTCAGCACGAGCGCGGCACTTCTCGACCGTCACGGGCGACGAAATGTTCACGCCAGTGAATGCGGCGTACTGGTATGCGAGTGTCCGTCAGCCCGTTTTGTTTCAGAGTGCCGTTGAGTCAGCGCTGCGCGCCGGTGGCGCCGTCTTTGTCGAGCTCGGGCCGCACTCGTCGGTCGCGCGTGCGATCGACTGCATTGCTGGTGCGTCGGCGTCGTCGGTGCCAAGCATGCTCCGGGGCACAAACGAGCTCTTGCAGCTGGACCGCGCAACCATTCATCTCTATCTTCACGGCCACGCGATCCAGTGGCGCTACGCCGAGGCATGCGTGCCCAGCGTGACGACGGAACAGGCAGTAGCACCTCTCGGCGATGGAACACACCGTGTGGTCCCACTTGCTGCTTAAGCCACAATCTCAACTAAGAAGTAGCGAGGCGCGTTCTCGACCACCTCCACTGTGCTTGCCCTTGTGTAATGAAAACGCAGCGCGTTCGAGTCTTTGTCCTCATACAGCCTCGTTATCAACCTGCGCAAGCTGGCTGCGGGGCAGTAACGGCGCGTCGGTGACCGGTCTCACCGTAATGCTGCGTGGCGCCCCGTATTTTCGCCGCTCGGTTGTTGCTCATACAGTACTCCCTCGGCCACGTCAGCCAAGGCTTGACGACCTGCAAGGTGCGAGGTTGATGTGCATGATACCATGTGATTGCGTCATCCAATCAAAAAGGCAATTTCGCGGTGCCCTGTCAGATTCCAGTGACTGCGTGTTTATATGGGCGTCGTCCCACTGTGCCCCGGCGTACCCCGTCTGCGGTTCCATCATCATCATTCCGGTAAAAATACGGGCGCTGGCATGCGGGCGTGCAGGCTCGTGCTGGCCGCCGTTAGTGTCGTCGCCGCCAATGCGTCGCCCAAGCGGCAGGTGCTGCCCGTCGTGCTCATCCCGGGCCTCGCGTCCTCGCAGCTCCACGCGTGGAAGAACGAGCGCTGCCATGGCTCGATCGGCCAAGAGGTCAAGATCGGCGACCGTGCGTGGCAGCCTCTCGACCTTCCGTAGACTCACAATGCGTAGGCATGTGGATCGACGTCGGTCGCCTCTTGAGCCAGACCGACTGCTGGGAGCGCTGCATGAAGCTGCACACGCGCAACCAGTCGGACATTGCGTGCAAGCTCCGGTACACGCGCTTGCTTTGGCGTATCCTCTCATGACGTTTCTAGCGCGGGCGATGGCATCTCGGCGATCACGGAGCTCGCACCGGGCCTCGTCACGGGCCCGCTCTCGGTCGTGTGGCGGCACGTGATCGAGACGCTCACCGGGCATTTCGACATGGGACCGCACCAGCTCATGGTCGCAGCGTACGACTGGCGCCTCCCGCCGTCCATGCTGCAGGAGCGCGACCACTTTTTCTATACGATGCTCAAGCGCAGTACGTATATGCTCTCCTTGGAGTGCTTTGTGGTTGAATTGCGTTTGATTAGTCGAGGACGCGGTCCATTTGCATCAAAGCCGAGGCGTCGTCATCATTGCGCACTCGCTTGGCAACAACGTATTGCGCTATTTTCTCGCGTGGGTCAAGCATCATATTCACTTGACCGACGACGTCCACGAGGTGCCCCTTTCTGGATTTGTATCGGATTTATCGTAAATATTGCAACTAGGCGTGGGTTCGACGCCACATTGCCGCCTACTTTGCGCTCGGCACGCCGTTTCTCGGCAGCTCCGAGCCGCTCGAATGCCTCGTCACGGGACTCTCAGTCAAAATGCCGCTCTCACTCGACACATACCGTCGCCTGCAGACCTCGCACGGTATGTCCAATCCTCGCCATTTTTTGTTTATCGTAGCGGATAATAGGCTCGACCCAGTGGATACTGCCGATTCCACGGACCTTGCACGACGACCCGACTGACGCGCAGGCGCAGCAAGTCTTTGCCTCGGTGACGTACCCTGGCGACACGGTGTGTGCTTTTTCCAGTATTTTCAATATTTTTAACATTTTTAATTTGCACTAGGTTGGCACTACAGTCACGCGCAGCTTCACCATGCGCGAGCTCACCAACGGTACCTTCCACCGCGCCATGGCGGCGCGCGACCCGACGTTCGAGGACCTTGAATACGTGCGGGAGCGGTACGCATTTTCCATCGTCGACTAGATTTTGAACCTACCCCTAGGTACTACGCCCAAGATGCCGTGCTCAACGTGCACACGCCTTGGACGCGCCCGCCGATCGAATCAATCTATGTCATTTACGGCACGGGCAAAAAGGTACAAACCTGTTCTGTAGACCTCTGTAGTTAACAAATCGCTGCAGGTGCGGCATCGGTATACGTATACCGAGCGCGAGCGCGGCGCGTGGAGGCTCGACAAGCTTTTTACCGAGACGCCGGACGCGGCAACATGCAACAAGACGGGCGACGGCACCGTGTCCTACTACTCCCTCTCATGGGGCCACACGTGGCTCGGCGCCGACGGCGACAGCGTTCGAATGACGCGCGCGCCCCAAGCGCCGTACTTTTCCCGCCAAGACATTGCGCAAACAAAAGCGACGCGCGTCAAGTACGCGCAATACGAAGGCGGCCTCCAATGCAAGTCGTCTGCGTCGCTGGCGTCGGCCGAGACGCAAGCAATGCAGATGCACTACAACAGCGGGTTCCTCTCCGACCTATGGAGCTCGGCGAGCGACGAGCCCAAGATCCATTTTTTCGAACACTCGGGCGTCTCGCCGACAGGCCGTCCCCTCCATGTACGCCCAAGCGACGATACGATAGCAACGAAGCCTCATGAGCAAATGTGTAGACAAGCGTGTGGGAGTTTGACCTGATCCAGCACCGTGAAATGCTGTCCGAACCAGCGTTTTTACGCGAGCTCAAATTTGAGCTGCACAACGTTTTTGACGGCAAGGCCCACACGGACAAGGTCATTTTGCATGGTTTGTTCGGCGCGGTGACGTAATTGTTGGTAGGCCTTTCGACCGCCGAGCCATGACGCCGACTGCTACTGGAACTACCGCCAAGCCCGCTGCGAGTTTACCGACTATTGCCAATACGACTACAAGTACGTGGGTCTGGTTCGGAGACACGTCTGATGTCTGGATATGACTAGATTTGGCGATGTCACGTTGGACCAGTCGTGCCGCGTGAAAACACCCGTGCGGCTCGCACCCCACCCAAGTGTCGTGCTGCCAACAAGCATGCAGCAGTGCGACGCGGCGTTCCCGCACGTTGTCGCCAAGCGATGCTTGCAGTCCCACGACGAGAGATGAGTCCCACGCCGAGGGATGACGAAATCGCCCCTCTTCTCTGCGCTGTCATATATATATATACTAGATTGATGCAGGTTTTGCATGGCTTTTGCATCCGATATGCATAATGTATTTAGACATTGAGGTAGACGAAGTTGCCTCAATTCGTCGAGCTTCACAACCTGTACTGGTGTGAGACGAATATCTTCTTCCTCTCCCAAGCCAAACTTGGCAGCGTGGTGGTCCATGCTTGTGGGACGCAGGGGCGAAGACGAGAGCTATCCTTTTCGCTGGACGAGTCAGCCACTTTGTGCAGTGATATATTTTGCAAGTG